GAGGAAAGAGGGGACGGGTATATGCATACACAAAGAGTGCAATGCGCACCACCCGAAGGATGGACATATTTGAAACTTGGACTTAGGGGGTGAGGGGGGAGCAAGGGCAACATACGTAACCTAAACATCTGTACCCTCATAATATGCTGAAATAAAAAAAAAAAATCCCTCATTCACTCTTCCTTCAGTTACACTCCCTCCTACCAGCTGAACTCCACTTCTGGACTGTCTATGCTTCCCCTGCATCGGGAGTGTTGCTGGAGAAGGGCCCCAGACATATCATTTGGGGCACCTAAGAACTCAAGGTTAGGCTCTGTGCAGTCCTGGACCAACACAGTCAGTTTCCGCTCTAACTTCCCTTAAGAGTTATTTCAAAAGTCAAAAACCCTATCTTCTATAGTGATATGTTCCAGACATTGAAATGCCGGAGTTTGCATTGTGGCAATAAAGCAAAGGGCTAAGTTCTATGTCCGGGTTCATGAGATGCAGACGAGAGCAGCAGGTTTAGAATGGCAGGAAGATGCCGAAACAGAACTAATATAGCAGATGTGGAAGCACAGCACCTTAGCTAACCATAAGAACGTAAGTCCCCCTATGTTTCACAGAAGTCCCTGAAAAGGCATTCACCGTACTTCCTCAGACCAAACATGGAGATTTGATCTATCTTATTTTGATCCGAAGGGTGAAGGAGAGACTCTGGTTGACCTCTGGGAAGCACACAGATCTGTCTCATCTTTCCTCTGTTTATAAATCTTTATCTCAACACACAGGGGGTGAAGTTCACACATGTAAAGGTTAGCAATATAATCGTAAGATTTTTGACCCAAGGACATCGGAATTCTGCCTTGGCTCTGCTATCTGTAAGGTTCTTGAAGGAAAAGACAAAAAAGGATCAATGGCATTTTATAATCTAGGCACACATGGCTGGTAATCCAATGCAGAAAGTTCTGGTAAAATTGATTGAGCATATGACCATAACTCAAAGCATAGGCTGGGTCTATTCCTGTCCCTAAGCCCAACCCTTACCAGAGACTCAAGGAAAGGGAGTGTGTGGTGTACAACTGAGGGAGAAAGGGAGAGACAGGCAGGCAGCTCCTGGGGCAGCTTACTCCATGGGGGGCGGGCAGCAAGGGGGGATGGAGCAAGAAGCAGAAGAGAATGTGAATACCATGGCCAGGCCTTCTTGGTGTGGGGCAAATTTTGGCTCAGTTTTTGTTTTTTTTTTTTCTTTTTCTGAGCATAACACCAGAGAGGAAGCCACAACCCTGTGTGGGACTTTTAACCCATTGTGAGCTTGCCTGTGAGTAAACAAGGCCCAAACAATGCCTGCAAATGTGAGGCAGGCCAATGAAAATTCCCTTCTCTTGGGGAGGAGCTAGAAAGGAGACAAGGAGCGGGCGAAGCCTCCTTCCTTTAAACTTAACATGGTGTTCAAGGCCCTTTCATAATTTGGTCCCCCGTCAGTGTCTCCAGTCCTGTCTCCCCATTGTAGCTGAGCTTGTCAATGTACACTAAACAAGCTGCACCTTTCCACATTTCCTTTGCTTACATTACCTTCTCTTTTTGAAATTCCCTTCTTATCTACCTGGTAAACTTTAAAATCCGGCTCAAGGGTCATCCCATCTTTGAAGCCTTCTTTTACTTTTTGAGGCAGCATTTGTTTTGTATTTTGGTTTATCGTGATATTATTTCTGAGTTTGGCTCCCCTGCTAAATTGAACTTCATGAAGACAGGGACCATGTGTTTGTCATTCATCCTTGTGCCTGGCATTTAGTTGTTGATAAGTAAACATTTTTTTTCTTAGTGTGTGAATAAGGACTGGAAGGTGATGGATATGGGGGCTCCCTTGCCAATATGTATCCATTTGAGCGCTTTATGGGATCTCGTAATAGAAGTTAGCCTTCTGTGATTCAAAGGTTTCACTAAAAAAAAAAAAAGAAAAAAAAAAGAAAAAAAGAAGTTAGCCTTCTGAGACAAAAAAAGCCAAGCACAAAGCCAGTAAATATTGCATGAGTGAAGTGGGAGCTACATCTAAATGGCTGAAAGCTTATGTAATGGCTTATATTTCTATCACCCCATGCTTTTATCTTCCTTTTGTAAATATACAGAAAACTTCCTAGTCCATTATTAATCACTGACTTGTCCTGTTTTTCATCATTTGATTTTTCTCATATGCAATGTAAACTATTCACCCTAGTGCCTGGAACAGTGCCAGTCACATAATAGATGCCCAATAAATATTTAATGAAAGAATGAATGGAGGCGAGAGGTGACATGGTATTGGGAACTGTATGTAGTTTGGACACTCTTGTGAGTAGATGGAAGAAACAAGATCCTTTCACTCTCAAGGTGTCTACACTGGCCAGAGAATTGCTAATGTGTGTGTTGAGGGGTGCATGTATTCACACTATCCCAACCAAGAGTGATAAATGGGTACATGCATGCTTATGGATACGGATGGCTTTAGAATTTCCCTTAGTAAGAAATCATTACACAACAGTACAAAGGTAGATTCATCCCTGAAAGCCACATGGTTCTACTCGTGCTCTCAAATTCCTGCTCCTTTTATGCTGTAAGTAGACTGGGGCCCTGGGGCTCATTTGATAGAATGACCAGCCACTGCAGCTTTCTGTTGTAACTAACCCGGGGCTTTCTAAAAGGAGTGGGAGGGGAGGCTCAAAGAGGTCACTCGAGGACCCAAAGTGTGCCCAGACTGGCCCTAAACGCGTGGCGTGACCTCGGGCTGAGCAGACATAAAAATCAAGGACACTAAGTGCCCAGCCACCTGGACCGCTCCAAGATCAATTAGCTTAGGAACCCTAGCCATCCGAAGAAACTCAGGCAGTGAGCCTCTCGAGGCCGGGATTGGCCGGAGCCCAAACGGAAGCGCGCTTCCGGGGGCGCGCAAGCTCGCACTGCGCAGGTGCGGAGGGAGGAGGCGCCGGCCGAGGCGCGCGGGAGGCTCCTGGAAGAAGATGAGCGCGGCGGGGCGGGGCGGGCGCCGCTGGGCACGAGTGTCCCGCTGTATCTCCTTCAGCGCGAGCCACCGGCTGTATAGGTAGGATGTGCCCACAGGTGCCAAAGGTGGGAGGCGGGCGCCAGTCCGCCGGGTAACGTCACCGGGGGCGGGGCCGGGAGGCGTGCTTGCGTGCGCGCAGGCGAGCCCTGGGCTGGGGGGCCGGTGCTGGGGGGCGGGGTCGGCAGACGGAGCGGCGGGGGGCGCGCTGGGCGTCCTCTCGGGCGAAGGATGAGAATTCCTGTGGCAGCTAGAGTTGGTTGCGCCCTGGAGGAGGCAGTGCAGCTTGGTGGTTCGCGGCCCCGACTGCGCAGGGAGACGGGCCTGGGCTCGGAGCCCACACCCAGCTCAGTGACCGGAAGCAACTTCTTTGCCCCCCAGAGCCCCTTAGTTTAGCTCAAAGGGTTGTTGCGAAGGTCAACGGAGTTAAACTTGCCGAGGTTACACAGTACGTCGTACGCTCAATAAATGTTAGCTAATATAAATAGAATATGCCTGGAGCATTAACGACAGTATCAAATATAATTACAATAAGGCAAGTTTTATCCCCTTTTCACCAGAGATAAAATGAGCCCAGATGTTAAGTTTCCTGTGAAAGCAGCACAGTTGGGATTTGAACCCCCAGCACGCAGACTGCTTGAACTCACTGAAGAGTTGATAGCAAGCTCCAGTCTCTGAGCCTCCATTTCCTCCTCTGTGAAATGATAATAATGATTTCTAACAGGATTCATCCATTCATTCACTGGACAAGGGTTTGTTTCTTGCTTATCAGCTTTTGTGCTAGGTAACATGGATACAGCATGGATCATGTCTGGCGTTTACAATCTGGCCAAATTTGGGGAGAGTAAAGTGAGAGAGCTAAAGACTTTATTTAGCACTCTAAATGCAAGAAGTGGATGAGCAGGAGAAAGTGGGGTATAGTAAAGAGGATCTCACAAAGAAAGGGGTTGTATGGCAGGAAGCTCAAACATACGACCACCGTAAAGCCTCATAGAAGATGCAAAGTTGATTGGGCAGGAATAGGTATAAAAATTCAATAAGTAAATTGTCTTCTGTCTGAAACAACAGCTAAGTGTTGTAATTTTAAAATTTCACTTAATTTGAATATCCCTCAATAGATTGGTAAAGTTGTCATTAGGCAATAGTTGCATAATAAAGCATGATTGTTAAAGAGGATACTTATCAGGTGCTGTAATTATTTTCAGGAGAAATGAGATTTAAAAAAAATTTCTTTTTCTGGACGAGTAGTTTAGCTTCTGAGAGGGATGAGATCTTACGCCACTTGAGGACAAGCACGTTCTTGTGTTTATTATTATATGCTCTTGCTTCGTTCAGTGCCTGCCTAATACCTTGTAGGTATTCAGTAAATATTTGTTGAATTGAAAAATGGAAGGACCATTAGCAGACCAGTTGTTGGAATCTTGTTGAATGTAAGTTTTGTATATGCTAATTTGTATGGTACAGTAGTCTAATTAGGAAGCATACACTGGTTTCTGATATATTGCTGAGTAATGAAATCAAAGTGATTTATGACTCCCCATTTGGTAAGCTAAAGTAATAATAAATTGTGAAACTTTTCAAAGACCAGAGCAAATAATAAATGTAGGGAACAGAGAAAGAGTTTTGAGTACAATACTTGTGTCATGATGATTTTTTTTTTTTTTTTTGTCAGTAAATCTCTGGGTGATGAAGAAAACTTGAAACTGTTTGGGAAATGCAACAATCCAAATGGCCATGGGCACAATTATAAAGGTGAGAGCCTCAAAAAGCAGCTACATAAGCCACAGAGTTTAACAGCATGTGGCATGATCATGTAAAAAAGACCAAACAAGGTATCAGAAGATTAGGATTTCTAGTTTAGTTACTGCCTCTTACTTGATCTGTGATATCTCAATCACAGTGTACTCATTTATCATGTAATACCTAATGGTATCTGTATGGAACTAAGAAATATATACATTTATAAAAGTTATTTGTAAAACATTGATCATCAAGATTTTTCAAATGCTTCATATGAGCATTTGTTAATTTGCATAGCATTACCGTAAACTGTGTATACATTTGCGTGAGTAAAGCGATAAGAGTTTAAGACCCAGTGGTAGTTTTACCTGCTCAGAAGGGCACTGCCCAATATTGGACCAGCTTGGTGTGTAGCTATACACCTGCATGTGCATTTTCTACTTTTACGGAGATTGAGCAGCATCTCGATCCTCCCTAGCACAAGTTAATAAGCAGAATTGATACCCTTTTTGTCCTTGGCTAAGTTCCTCTGCTTAGCCAAACCTCCTACTATGCTCCTTTGTCTTGGCTCAGTCTTGCTTTGGTTGATAAAGATCTAAACTAAAAGAAGAAATGTTTTGGGGAAAATATACATGTAGCTTTGGGAGACAGAGATCTAATAATATATGTTGCTAACTTGTCCTTGGATGTTAATCTGTTGAATGTCATGCTGTTTTTTGGTGTTTTGTTTTCTTTCCCATAGTTGTGGTGACAGTGCATGGAGAGGTATGTGCTTAAAATATTTATGTGGTTTGTGCAGATCATCCTCTTTCAGCCACTGTGGTGGATTCTGTATTGAAAACTTCTGTTCCAATCAGTATTGCCTCACTGTTAGCCTTTGTGTGTGTGGTGAGCTTCTACATTCTGGGCTTCTCCTCTCCCCAAGTTTTGTCTTTAATGTGCTATATGTGGACGTTACAGAAGAGCCGTACAATGAAAACAATGCTTGAAGTACACGGTGCATTGTGCTGAGATCAATGATTATCTCTGGGATGAAGCAAATGTAGGCACAATCTCTGCACATTGAACGGCCTTTACTAATTTGCCGGTGGTTTAAATATGGAGAGGCTATTAGAGTAATATTCACCTTTGTTTATTCTTTAGATTGATCCTGTTACAGGAATGATTATGAATTTGACCGACCTCAAAAAATATATGGAGGTAATGGCATGTTGGGTGCTTATTATCTGCTGTCCTCTAAATATATTAATAATATTTAGTGCCCCCCCTTTCCACCTCCTCAACCACTTATCTCCTGAGAGTCCATGACTTGTGAGTAGCATGGGGTGTGGGAGCAGGGGAGTAATTGGAGGAACTATTCTCATGGCCTTCTGAAGATATTCAGGTGACTTAATGGAAACTAGTCACAATTGCGTTACAGTGTTGAGAAGAAATGAAGCATGCTCACCTTGTATACCTTGTTGGAATATCCTGCTTTCCTTCATCTAACAAATTCTACTTTTCTTTCAAGACACAGCCTTCTCCTTGAAGCTTTATGTTCCTTCTCTGAATATTCCTTGTAGCTTTGATCATAGATTTTACCACCACCTTGTCTTCTTCACCTGGCTGTATTATAAATTCACTGGGGCAGCACATCATAGAGGTAATACACAAGAAAGTGTTCCATAAAGAATTCAGGATTGCATCATTGTAGAATTCTTGCATCGTAAGGGACCTTAGAGATTATCCAAACCAGTTTCTTCATTGCAAAGATGAAGATCGAGAGAGGCTGAACAGTGAACTAACTTGCCCAAGGTCATATGGTTAGTCATTTGCAAAGTTGGGAGTAGATTTCTTTCCATCCAGCTGTTTGTATTATGCCATCATTTCACCTGTTCTTCACTTCAGCTCCAAAACTTACTATTCTAAAATCTGACATTTGTTTCATTAAAATAATATTAATAATCATTACTTCTTTCACATTACTTATTATCTGTATTCAATAAATTTGTCTACTTTATATCAGTTTTTGAGCTAAGTACCAGAAAAACAAAGTTGAATGAGATATAGCCCACAGAGTATGCACATTACTTTTTCTAGGAGGTAAAGAATAGTAATTGCTCAATAACTGTCGATTGAACAACTGAATAAGAGGATGAGTGAAAGAACAAACAGCACTGTACTCAAAATACTTTAGGAAAGTTATAAAGACAGAGTTCTTGCATTTACTGCAGACATAAATTATATATACTCAAAGTGTTGTACAATATCAGACAACAATGTAAGAGATCTCAAGCAAACATATGACTAAATATTAGAAGAGGGGTTCTCTATGCTTTTTTCTACTTTTATATACACGAAGGACACCACACATTTCTATTAGTAAAATTGGCTCTTCATGGCATATAAAGTGAAGTTAGAGCCCTACAAATGGCACTGAGACATCCCTGGTGGCTGCAGGGCTAGTAGTGGAGTGTTTCATTTTTCTCGGGCCCCTGGGAGAAGCACTGAGTCCTGTCATGACTCCTGCGGGCAGACAGGACAGCTGAGCCCTTCTCAGATGGTCGGGGGCTTCCGGAAGTGCTCAGATGTGTTTCTTAAGGCACCATATGTGAAGAAGTAGGTCTGTGACCATTTAAAACCCCAAAGCTGAAATCTCTTTTTAAGCAGATGCAGAATGCAGCCATTGCAGCAAACAGGAGTGGGCAGAACTCTTGTTGACCAGGGCATTGCTGGCTCTCCTGCCACCAGGATGGCTTAGCCCCTGTAGCCTGTGATGTTTGGAGGACATGTTTGAAAAATACTCTAAAAGATACCAACTGTTCCCTTCTGTGGCTAATGGTTTGTGCAGCAGCCAGCAACAGTGATACCTATTGTAGTCGAAGTTTGTAAAACACACCAAATGTTGCTGTTCACACTAGACACTCACCAACTCCGGAAAAGATACACCAAAATGTCACTTTTCCAAGCTGTTTTGCTTCTACCTAAGCTTTTGTCCATCCTTAGCCACCAAGACTGCGAGTGTGCAAGTTACTGTTGCCGATGGGTCCTTCTTGGACAGTTGCTGCTGCAAAGAGGCTCTTGTCTCTTTTCACATTACATCAGAAGTGCTGCTACTGAGAGACAACAGTTCCCTGCTGCTGAGCCTGGGCATCTGCAGGCCTGTTGTGAGGAGCCTCCCACTTCTCTGAGCTCCTGGGGGACTCTGCCCAGCACCTGCTGGGGAATGGTGTCAGTCTGGTTCCAGATTGAACATGGCCTTTGCATACACAGCATGTTCATGGCCCAGCCTAAAGTAATTCTTATCACCTCCTCATGTGAAGGCAGCCATTGCCATCCTGGCTGGAGCCCCCCAGCCTTGAGATGTTTCCTGGGCCAGCCCTTCCTTGGGGCCTCCAGGAAAACAGAAGCTCCCTCTCTCAGTGGCTTCCCCTTGCCCTTCCTGGGGCTGCTAGGGGCACATCACGATGTGCCATGGAGCGAATCTGGCTCTTGGTGACAGGGGAGAATGACTCGTTTGTTGGAAATACACCTTGTTACCAGAGAAAATCCCCAGGCACCTCGGAACAAATCTATTTAATTCCAACGTGAACTAGCCACAAGACAACTTTTTAATCAGCTTACTAAGTTGGAGCAATATAATAGCTCTTGCTGATTTTAGCAATGATAAAAATGTGTTTTAAACACATAGTGTTAAGTTTTATGAGGAAAAGGATCATAAAGAAGGATAGTAGTGCACATGACTTAATTTTTCTATTAGATGGGCAAAAGTGGCTGTTTCTGCACAGAACCCTTGGGTGTTGTTCTATAAACATTCGTGGCCTCCCATTCTGCCCATGTCACCTCTGTCCTGCACATGGTTCGGTTTGTGTAGCACCCTAATTTTCTCTGTGCGCGGATGAACATCCCTTCGTCTATTCCTCTGTGATTGACTCATTATCTTCCCTCTTGGGGGATGGGAGGGAAGAGCAAGCCCTGCAGAAGAGGCTTCAATGGAGAAATTGGGACTGAAACTGGGATTTAAGATAAAGCAGAGATATTTATTTTCTTGACATCGATGTGGAACATCCCTTCATTTGGTCTATTTTAACAGCTGTTTGATCTAAGACTAAGTATTTTTATATGATTCTAGTTTTACTCAAGAAATGATCTCTATTATTGTTATTTATATATGCTTCTTGAAACCACACCATATGGAAAATTAGATTTTCCATATGTTTAGATGCTTAGATTTTTTACAATAGCTAAAAGTGAAAACTTAGAATAAGGCAATTCAATCTTTGCTAATGACAAGGAAAAACATTACGTTAATATATATAAGCATTAGGGAGTAATAGTCTTTACATATTTATATTTTTTCTCCTAGTAGGAGCCCAAGATCATTCTTAAATTACTCCTCATAGCAGAAATTTAGAACTACTTATATAATTTCAGTCTAGATCTGCTTTATAAAATGTAATGCTCACTGGGTCTTTGTTATAATGATAATGTGGCATTTATTCCATAGGTGTGACTGTGTTATGGAAAAATATTTCTGGTGTCTTTTTTGTACAGAATTCAAGAAGTGTTCAACTGAATTCTGAACCACAATGGCTTGTGTTTGTGAGAAAACTCCAGGAGTTCTCGTCTACTTTTTGGTTTCTCACCTCTTTGCAGTCAGTAACAAGGATACCTAACTAATACAAAGAGCTGGGCCTGGCTTTATTTTACAACTTTAAACTTTGTAAGATGCAGGTCTAGTACTTAGAAGTATTGAGTTAGTAGCTAAATGATAGGGTAAGGTTTAGAGGCATAGGGGGAAAAATTTGGGATTTGAGTCATAAATGTAATCAATTATTTTTTTCCTTTGTATTGCCTCTAGGAGGCAATTATGAAGCCCCTTGATCATAAGAATCTGGATTTGGATGTGCCATACTTTGCAGATGTTGTAAGGTGGGTGTCACTATCTTGCCTTATATAGGTAGTAAGAAAGAAGAATTGATTTGAACATGTTACTTTATCTAATTGCTGTGTGATTTCTAAACTTTTAGTTTAATGATATCTTTCAAAATTAGAATTTCTGTTCTAAATATTATATGTGAAATTTTGTTTATTATTTGCATTTTGAAGCTTTTTCCTTTCTTTTTTTTCTACAGCACAACTGAAAATGTAGCTGTATATATCTGGGAAAACCTCCAGAAAATTCTTCCTACGGGAGTTCTTTATAAAGTAAAAGTGTATGAAACTGACAAGAATATAGTAGTTTATAAAGGAGAATAGCTCTTAGGGATTAACATTGTAGAAAGACTAATTTCTTTCCATATTTGAAAAAGATCTTTATCCCCTTGAAATATTAAGAAGTTACCACAGGATTGTTACACCTCCCCATTGTGCTCTGGAGTACCTGATTTATTGAAATCATTGTAAGACCTGTTAAATCTTATAAACCAAACTTGTAATATATCCTGAATATCATTTGGAAAGTCTCTTATCTCTAGATTAAAAGTCACTTCATTTTTGTGAAATATTTTGATGTGGAATTATTTGAAAGCAAAAGCAATCTATTTTTGTTGTTTTCGCTATTATCTCATTTTTAGAATCTTTTTTGGTATAATATAAATGGTAAAAATGTTTCATACAACTTAAAGTAGGCGAATCTTACAAAAAATAAAATTCAAATGACCACAAAGTCTGGAGACAGTATATGTTTTTTAATAGATTGAACTTCCTTGATTACTTCTTCTTGGGTATGCTAAAGGCACAAATTTATTCAGTGAAAATTAGACACACACATCATCTGAGGCAATGCATTGTAGATGCATGTACAAAGATTGATGGAAATGCTGCTATAGAGCACATTGTTTGCGGGGAGTTAGCTACGCTCCCAGCAAAAAATCGGGTCCCTTAGGTAGGGGTCGTTGCAAAGGATGAGAAAATAATAGAAAATGGAAAATAATAGAAATAAAAGAATACACAGAGACAAAGGTATAGTTTTATAAATTTATAAAGATAATAGACAAAAGCGAGGTACACAGGTACTCAGGGGGACCTTGTGATTTCTCCGTTAATCACAAAGGCCAAGAGTGAAGTTTTACATGAGTATTTATAGGTACAGTGATCGGTTGCCAAGGGTAACAGATTTACATAATAACAGGTAGTTCATCTTAGGTTAAAAATATTTCAAAAAGCTTCTTTAGATCCCTTAACTAACTCTATCTACGTGAACTAATGGTTACAAAGTCTTTCAAAGACAAACTTTTAAGTTCTAAGGTAAATTTATCACTTAACAGAAGGGTTAAACAGAGATATAACGGCTCCATATTTTCTTTATCAAGTTACTGTGTATTGAGACAAGTTGTCAGGAGCTTAAGCAGGAACGGTCCCTTGGGCTAATTGCTTTTAGCCACAGGTGTCTGTCTGTTGGGCATTCTTTGATCAGCTCTCATCCTCTGGCTCCTAGCAGACCTGCTTTGCCTTTCAAAGCAAGTCAGAACCACAGGTCTGAGAATTGCAGCGCCATCTTGGGAAGCAGCTGCCACTGATCTTTGAGATGCCCTCCTGAGGTGAAGCAGCTTTTGATATGCAAACTACACGTTCACATATTCCTTCAGGGCAAAGCCCTGCAAAACTGGGACCATTTCTGTCTCTAATATAGTTATATTAATTTATGGAGCGACCGTTGTTCATTGCAATTTTTCACAGCTTATTGAACTATGAATTGCTAGTGAGGAGCAATACCTTAAACATATCATGGAATATCAGTAAATTATTTGTTATGTATATTTTTTTGGATTTCCGGACCTTATATTCACCTGAATAACTCAGAAGACTGTAGAATAACATATTTTAAACCTTGTTAAAATAGTCAACATAAAAAGAATCCACTAGTTTGTAAAGCATTTCCTGTATATAGTTTTAACTAATTAATCCCTTTTTGCTCTGATCATTCAGCTTACCTATGTAAGTTGAATTACATATCCTTGGCATTCATCTCTGGGATGACTAAATCCACAAGAATGTATTTGTTTGCTTTACACAAAGAACTATTCTTTTGTGTTCTCATTTGTATTCTAACTTTCTTAAATAGAGGGTTTTAATTTTGTTTCCACGTAGCAACTGACAATACAATGAATTCTCAGAATGTTGCCTGAAAATAGTAGAAGGACTTATGCAGTGATTACTGTTCTAGAAAAATTTCAAAGGAATAGCTTTTATTTTGGAGATTTAGTAACTACAGAACTTTATTATAAATTTTGGCAGTAATGCATGTCCACTCAAATTTGAATGTATTTTATTAATCAAACATAATTTTTATGTTATCTCTGTAGACTATTTTGTATTGATGACTTGAAAGACAGAATAGATATTAATTAAGGCACTTTGTTTTAATTCTCACAGATACCATGCAAGATAGGTATTATTCTCTTAAAGTTAGTCTAGTTTAAACAACTTATATCACTCAGCAATAAATGGCAAACTGAATGTTTAATACTCAGGGTCTTTCTGACTACAAAACAGATTCCAAAAAGGACAATGTATGTATATTTCCAGATTTTCAAAAAGTACAGAATTTTGAAGATCTACTGTCAATTAGAAAAGCATTATTTTTCATAGTAACATTGACACTCCAGGTGTTCATTGTTCATGAGTTGCTTCAAGAGAACTTTTGTTCCTACTTGCTCCTTAGAAAAGTAAAAATTCTCTCTCTCTCTCTCTCTACTCCTCCCTCCCTCCCTCCCTGTATATTTTTTTTGATTTCTGGACCTTATATTCACCTGAATAACTCAGAAGACTGTAGAATAACATATTTTAAGCCCTGTTAAAATAGTCAACATAAAAAGAATCTACTACTTTGTAAAGCATTTGAGTGAGTGAGTAGTTGAGTGAATGATTGGAAGAACCACAGATGTGTAGGTGATTTTCTTCTAAGTGTCTTGAGAGCCTGCTCTCACAGATCATATCAAGCTATATTGTAATTGTTGCCTTACCTGTTGGCTTTTTTTTCATTACCCTGAATTCCTTATGGGCAAAGTTTTTATTCTAAACAGAGTATCTGATAAATAGTACTTAATAATTTTTTGTTAAATAAATGAGTGGCATATTCGTAGAAACTGTTGAAATTTTATAGTGCCTTACATACATATGGGCACTTAATAAATATTTTTAGAATTGAATAACCTGGAAGTTTTGAGGCTTGAATGCAAGTCCCTAGTGCTGTTACGATTTAGTTGAGTCACGTTCATCTCTGGGCTTCCGTTTCTTTACATGTAAAATGAATCCTTGGACTAGATGCTTTCTGGAGTTACTTCTACCTCTTTTATATCTAGATGATTTTAAATACCAAATGAATAAATATTATTAAGTTAGAGAAGGAAAAAGATCATTATGGGGTGGTGAGATTTGGAAAAAGCTTAGGGGAGGAGGTAAGTCCTGAATGGTACTTAAAGTGATGGCATAAGTGGTGGTTTGGGATTCTGGAGAAGAGAGGGAATGAGTACTGAAAGGGTAAAATTTCATTAGTGAGGTTGGTAGGGTGAGAACATACCGAGTACAACTGGGATATAGTGAATAGATTAATCTTAGTAGAGTGGTAGTGAGGTGTGAGAGGTGTCATAGAAATAAACTTGGAAATATAGGGTGGGGACAGCCTGGAGGGCCTTGAATGTCAATTTGGTCTTTATCCTTTAAGGAATAGGGAGATGTTTGTTTTTTAAAGAAGATAACCAGCTGGACCAAGGGAAGCAAGGAAACTAGTTGTAAAGCTGTTGCAGGAATCTAGACCCGCTGGGCGGTAGTGGTGGCGGTGGAACTAGACAGGGGCAGGAAAATAGAGCTAATGTTGTGCAGTGCGTACTGTGGTGTCAGGCCTTTTGCTAAATGCTTGTTATATTGCCTCATTTTATCCTCATAACCACCCTGCTGGGTGAGTGTGTTAGTTGTCTACTGCTGCATAACAAATTACCCCAAAACATAGTGGCTTAAAACAGCACACATTTATCATCTCAGCTTTGTGGGCCAGAAAGCCTGGGGTGGCTTAGCTGGGACTTCTGGCTCAGGGTCACTGACAAGGCTGCAGTCAGCTCAAGGCTGGACAAGGAAGGATCTGCTTCCCGACTCACACGCATGGTGACAGGATTCAGTTCCTCATGGGTGGTTGGACTGAGGCATCAGTTCACCGCTGTTTCTTGCCACATAGGCCTTTTCATAGAGCATCTTCCAGCATGATAGCTTGCTTCATCAGAGTGAGCAGGTAGGAGGGCGAGGGAGAGTGCCCGCAGGATCGAAGACACAGTTGTTTGTAACCGAATCACTTTTTCTGTGTTTTGTTCCTTAGAAGCACGTCCTCCAGGGGAGAGGATTACACATACGTTGCTAGTGTGTCAGGTGTGACGTGGAGATAGCCGGAGATGAGGCTGGAGAGGTATATATATTTCAGGCCCTTTCTTTTTTTCCCCTTTGGCCTTTGCTACTCACAAATATCATCCCCTTTTTGATGCCAGGGGAGTAAAGCACATTTCCTTTTGCAGGAGTGAAATATCAGAGTAGCAGTGGTTGTTCACAGTGGGAATTGTAGAGTTTGTGGTTAAAGAAGTATAAAAGTCTTGGATGCACAACTCTTGAAATTAAAACCAACTCTAAGGTGAAAAGTTAAGAAAAAATATAATCACCGTATCTCTGTGAACATAATGACCAGAGCTTAGCTATCGTTTGTATTGCCTTCATTGATGTAGTAACCACCACATCAATTGGTGGTTATAAAAATAGCCAGAATACTTTGATCAGTTGTGTACATGTGGCCATTAATACACTAGATTTAGGATAAGTGATCTGTTTTGCTTTTTAAACTCCAAACTTCTAAATTCCTCCTGGAATTGAAATTATCTTAAAGTTGGGAAACAGATAGTGTTCATTTTGCTTTTGTTATGTGTGGGATATTTCTAGCCTCCCTTGCACATAGAAAAATCATTGTTAGTTTCACACAATTTAACTTTATAGCAAGATTCTCCTGCAAGACACTTTTGGAAAATGTCCCAGATAAACACTGTTAGAGTCTCCACGTAGCTGCAAAGAGAACGGCTACACCACAAAACAAAAGTAGGGGAAAGTGGTTCTTGCAGTGGAAGATTTTCAGAGCAGCACTTCTGTTTTCAAGTGGCTTACACTTGGTTTGTTTCCTTCAAAAATCTAACCCCCCATTCCCTCAAGTGCTCCGCAGCCATTGAGACAGAAGAATTAATGATTTAAAAAAAGAGAAATAGAACGCTAAAACGACATCCCCAGCTTATAAGGCTGGTGTTCTCAAAGATGCACAAGAAACAAATCCCAGTACTTAAACCCAAGTTCACCCTCATCAAACCAGTTTATTCAGTGAAATTTTCCAATTTAGTGTGCTAATAAGTACGAACCAAGTTGTCAAACCCTTTTCACTTTTCACAAGAACCTTAATAGATATGAGGTGGCTGGGGACAACCTGAAGAAATAGCAGGGCTAGTGTTGTCATTCACCTGTTACCATTTT